ACTTTATTGCAGTTCTGTAACCATATGGGAACCAATTCTGTCTGTGTTCTGTGCACACCCAAAATTCCTGCTGAATGACCTGCCCTGGGAGCGAGTTACCAATGACCCAGGGCTGTGGACGGAAGGAAGAGGCAGGTGCGGGGGGAGAGCCCAGGGCGGGGGGGGCAGGAGGTGTGTGTGTGGGGCAATGGTGGGGGGGTAGGGAGAGCCCAGGGCTGGGGCAGCGAGGGGGGGTGCGGGTGGTGGGGGAGAGCCCAGAGTTGGGGCGGCAGGGGGGGTGCGGCAAGGAGCCCAGGGCTGGGACGGGGGGCAGCCAAAATTTTTTTTGCTTGGGGCGGCAAAATACCTAGAGCCAGCCCTGCTGGCTTGACTCTGACTCTTGCTTCTAGAGCCTGGCTCTTGCAATTTCTTCAGCTCCTGCCTGATGACCACCTTCCCCTGCTGGGCAGACCTCAGCCTAGGTGTGACTGGAGGCAAGAATGCCTATGTCTTGGTCCATTACAATGGGAAAGTGAACTGTGTAACATCTTACTGTCACAAAGGAAACCACAGAGTGGTAAGAGAAGATGGGAATGACATTTTATCATTGTTGGCATGGAGACTATGAGGAGTGGGACAATAAATGATTTGGGTTTTTTTTCTTATTTCCCTGCATATGTGTAAGTGCGTGAAGAAGGGAGTTGTAGCCTGCCGAGAGGCTGTCAGATCTCAAGCCAAAAAGAAAAGCTAAAGATGATCTGTTCCATGGAGTGCACAGTTAATCCCCAGAGAGGGCCCTGAAGGCAGATGTGCGGAGGGAAGGTTTCCTGGAGCATGCACAAAAAGGTCAAAATGGAGTGAATGGCCCTTGGGAGGGACTTTATGCAGATAATGCAGAGGCAAATAGCTATGATAAAGCACCTTTTGCTGCAAAAGCACCTGGGAGCCCTACTCATGGTCCAGGTCTCCATTGTGCTAGCCGCTGTACAAACACAGAAGAGAAAGACAGTTCCTGCCCCAAGAAACTTACCATCTAAGTAGAAGACAAGAAACAACAGATGGATACAAACAGACAGACAGGGGAGTACATGGTCAGCATGGCAGATTGTAGTCTGAGCACACCTGCAACTTAACCATTGTCAAGTTTTCACCTGGGTCAAATTTCAACTGTTGTCACCTCTGATGACATTTGCCCCAACCCTGGCCCTCCCTTCATCCCCACTGTGATGTGGGGGTGCAATCCACACCAGTGAGAGGTTGTGTCTCTGCTTGCCCTGCAACCAGGGGTGACTTACAATGCTTTGCTGCTGTAGCTCCCAGCCTGGGACTCTTCCACCAGCCCACAAGCATATAGGCCACACCCTGACTGTCTGTGCACTTGACAGCCCTGGTTCAGTAGCTCTGAGCCCAGCAGCCTGTGTACAACCCCACCGCCCCACTCTGGCTTCCACCAGAATTGGTTACAACCAGCAAAGTGACCCCAACACACTCCCAGGCTCAAATTTCCACAAAACTGTCTCCCCTGAAATGTCCATCTCTCCCCTGGAACATTCAGAGGTGTATAGAGGTTTGTTGCTCTCATAAAAGAGTCAATACCCAATAGCTTAACACTTTGACTTGAAGTGACTGCTAACTCCAGTTAAACACAGCACTGAGTTGGTTTATAGTAAAAAATAAAGCACATTTATTAACAATAGGACACCAGTGATGCCAACTAAAAGGAATAATGTTAGAAAGGGTTACATGCAAATAAAAGTGAAAACACATATTTTAAAGTCTAAAACTTACTCTAGCAAGGTACAGGCTTTGTTCAAGATGGTTTCTCAAACTTATATTCAGTTCCCAGAAACTTCACCTCCCACTCCCCCCCCCTTGGTTTGAAGGGCCCATCTTTCTCAGCTTGCAAGAGCTCTGGCCTCTTGTGTCTGTCTAGTGATGGGTGTCAAAGATGGCTTCTGTCCTTACTTATAAGTTTCAAAGTTCAATGACCAGAGGCAGGATGACCTTATGCTGTTCTTCCCTTCTTGTGGATTTTCAATCCCCCTGCTGATTTCCATGTAAATGGGGCTTCCATTGTTTTGGTCACATCTTGTTTAATTTAATTGGGGACGGGTAGATAGCTGCCTTCCCTCCTGTTTGGAAAAGAGCTGATTCTCCCTTTGTTTGGACATGCACTTTAAACCATGTTATCAATGAGAATCTACAATTCCTTATAATGTTAATACAGACATTTCATAGACTTTCATACAATATTTCCCTCGATACACATTCAGAATACAGTAATATTGTGTAGACTCAGTTCATTCACTTGCTTATTGCTTGAGATTCAGCTCCCCTGTCTTTATAGCCCAGTAAACCTTTGCAATGTAATCTTTGAGAAGAAGAACTCAAACCAAGCTTCTCTCGCCTGCTGGGTGTAAATGCCATGCTGTCTCCTCCTGCACTTGTTAGATTAATAGTTTTATTAACAAAAGTCCATTGACATATTAGGTAGTCTCTGCCTCAGGACCCAACTGGTCAGAGAGGCAAACAAATTCCTTCTTGTGGGGCAGACCTGTTTGCTAGCTCTCTATTTCATGCATGGTTTAAATACATTTTAGTCATAATTCCAGCCTATACCTATGTACACACTTAACATATATGCAAGAATATTAATGATCAGTGAATTATTAGTTTTTCAATATTGTATATACTACCTATCAGACAAAGATTATGACATATGTGAATTGGGGTACACTGAAATGGTCAGGGCAGCTGAAACTCATTACCTGTGAGCCCCTTGACCTCTGGCATTGGGATTCTCTTAGTGTCACACCAACCCTCTCCACCTCCACACCATCCTCACCACCACCTCCATCCCTCTCTTGTCACCACTCCTAGCTACAGCCAGGCCAGTAATTGTTATTTTGGTTCAGATACCAAACTGAGAAATCAGGAAAAAAAAATTGGTTCAGCCCTGAAACTGAATGGTTCAGTTCCAAAGAGTCCATTGTGGGTCATACAGAAACGGTGTGTGTTCCCCCTTATAAACTTTAGCCCCGTGATTAGGGCACTTGTCTGGGACATGAGAGTTTTGAATCCCTGCTCAGAAGCAGGGACTTGAATTCAGGTAGTCCATCCCTATGCCACAGGCAAGTGCACTAATCACCAGGCCATGAACTATTCCAGGTGGGAATGCCTCCTGTTGAAGCTGTTCCACTTTACATGTTCCACCTCTGAAATCGAGGAAATGATTAGTGAAGGTACATGCCACTATTGGGTGGGTGAGTGGGGGGGAGGAATTTGTAGGGGGGTGGACTGAGTTGATTTGGGGCATGGCTGGGGAAGCCTGGCTGAAGCAGGGGCAGGAGCCCCAGCTGGGACTGGGTAGTGGGACTGAGGGGCCAAGCTCAGTGTGCGGCTTGAGTTTCATAACCAAGGTATGGTGCAGCCCTCCAGTGATCTGCTGCTGTGATGTTTATGCAGCAACATAGGGCAGGCGATAGCAAGGAGCAACTTCTTACATGCTTGAGTCTGAACATTTCTCCATCTATGATGGCTATGTCCTCCTCAGAGACACTTCAGAAGGAATCCTCCCTTTGCTGTTTGACCTGCAAGTTGGATGACCCCAATAGCTTCCCCACACCTGCAAGCTCTTGTTTGGGGTCCTAGGGGCACATGTCTCAGCAAGGTCATTCGCTTAACATAGGCAACAATCCTGACTCCCCCCCCACCCCTATGTAAATCTCATCTCCCATGTCCAGTGGCTCATTTCTCTGCGATAAGAACAGACCTTCAAACAGAAAGAGGTCGCCTAGGGTCTGTTCAACAGGGCCTGCAGCAGTGTCTTAAAGTGGGGCCAGGCCAGCTCTGCCATATCCAGTTCTGTTCATTCACATGCTAGACCTACTGTAATGTGGCCTGTTTGTCCACCTGCTGTCAGACAGACCTTCACACAGGGATAGCCCTTCACGTCCCCATGGAGGCATGTCAGGGGCACGGTGCCTTACAAATGGATCTTTGCCTCCCTCAGCAGGTCTTCTCTCACTAGGGTCTGCTCGCATCCTGAGTCCACCAGGGCTGGCTCCTCCTGGTCGTTGATGTGCACCACGGTGATCAATTTTGGGTTGTTTGGCATTTTAATGGAGTCTGGGGATGGTCAAGCTGCCCCCATAATTACACTCCAGGGTCTGACAATCTCTTCTGATATGTTCTTCTTGCCCACATAGGAAACAGATCACTCACTGGTGGGCTCTGTAATGGGTTTCGGCCTTCCCTGATTTTCCTGTCTTGACCTTCAGAGAATGGGATGGGAAGTAAGTTGGGGACAGTCTCTGGCATGAGAACTTATCTACTGGGGCGAGGCTGCCATCCACACTGTGGCCTCAAAATGACTGTTCCCTCTCTCTCCTGCCCTACTTGACTTTGGGGAGGCAAGCTCTGCCCTCCCAAGTTGGATCAGTAGGGTGTCAGCTTGAGGTAGGTCTCTGCTAGTCTCACTGCTTCTTCCAGTGCCTCTGGATGGTGCTCTGTACCCATTCACGCATGGGCTTGTAGGGGGTGGCAGAGGAACTACTCGAGGATGACCAGGTCAGCTACTTGCCTGCTTGTCCTGGCCTCAGGCCTTAGGCCTTAACCACTTGCAGCTGATGTCCTTGAGCCTCAGCAACAGGGTGTGAGGCCACATAGACAGGCTGAATCATTCTCTGAAATGATGGTGGTAAGTCTCTGGTTAATTGCAGTCTGTTGAATATGGCTGCCTTCACTGTTGGATAGTTCAGGGCAGACGGTGGTTGAAGGCCCTATAATGGGCTTGCACCTCCCCAGTCAAGACAGGCATGAGGTGGATGTCCAGCATTCGCTAGCCCAGTTGTTGAGTTGTGGCCTGGACCTCCTACTGTTGCTGCTGGGAGCCTGCTTGCAACTCCTTTTGCTGTTGCTGGGCCTGCAACAGCTGTAGTATCAAGACTTATATCTGCCACAGCTGATCCTGGGCAATGGCTTGTTGGTCTAAGACAGTGGCCTGCTGCTGGCCAAGTAACCATACAGCTTCCTCCATCTTGGGCCCTATTAGGCTTCAATATACGTGTTTCAGTTCTGTGCGGCTGGGATACAGTGAGAAATCCCACTTCTAGTATCACACGTGAGTCATTGCATCAGTCCAACAGTGCCCCTCCTGGCCAAGCAAGGCATGGCGCCGGCTCCCTCAGCTCAGCGGGGCCGTCAGTCTATTCCTGGTACCCAGGAATCTGAAAAACCCTCTGTAACGATGCTGGTTCTGGTGGGACCCAACTGAGAGTGCCAATTCAGGACAAAATGCTTAAAGCAGGGCAGTTACAGCCCAAGGCTGGGTTTTTCCACCCCTAAGGCAAACCAAACCAGCCAGCCAGAGAGGACTTTGGTTTTACCCCCTTGGCTAACCACAAGTCACACAAGCAATTCCCTTAGACACTCCAGTTTCCCAGTATCACCACCAGTACCACTCGTTATGGGGACAAATGGTTATGAAAACCATTACCCCAGTAAAAGAAAACCAAGCCCCAGACCCAGGTCAATCTACAAATCAGATCTTACCCACAAATCACGCTGTTGCCAATCCTTTAGAATCTAAAAACTAAAGGTTTATTCATAAAAGGGAAAAGATATAGATGAGAGCAAGAATTGGTTAAATGGAATCAATTACATACAGTAATGGCAAAGTTCTTGGTTCAGGCTTGTAGCAGTGATAGAATAAACTGCAGGTTCAAATCAAGTCTCTGGAGTACATCCCCAGCTGGGATGGGTCATCAGTTCTTTGTGTAGAGCTTCCGTTTGTAGCAAAGTCCCTCCAGAGGTAAGAAGCAGGATTGAAGACCAGATGGAGATGAGGCATCAGCCTTTTATAGTCTTTTCCAGGTGTAAGAACACCTCTTTGTCCTTACTGTGGAAAATTACAGCAAAATGGAGTCTGGAGTCACATGGGCAAGTCCCTGCATACTTTGCTGAGTTACAAGGTGTATCTGCCTTCTCTCAATGGGTCAATTGTATAGCAGGCTAGGCAGAGCTGACACCAACTTGTCTGGGATGTTACCCAGAAGCATAGCATAAGTTTGAAATACAGACAGTATAGAGCCAATATTTATAACTTCAACTACAAAAATGATACACACATATAGACACCATAATCATAACCAGCAAACCGTAACCTTGTCTTAGATACCTTATTTGACCCCCTTTATACAAGATTTGGTGCCGCTACAAGACCTTGGTTGCAACCATGTTCTATATGGTCCCAGTTCAAGTCAATAACGTGACACCTTCTCTGAACTCGGGTCTGTCAGCGGGTTGGTAGGGGAACCCAGGCCCACTCACTCCACTGGGTCCCAACTCAGGGCCCTTAAGCTAGACATGCAGGATGAGGGTTTGCTGACTCTGAGCGCCTTCCTACCTTCTCCAAGGCCTCTGCAGGCTTGTCAGTCTGTTGGTCCTTTTGTCCCTTTCTGGGGTGTTGTCCCTGGGCTCTTTACCAGTCTGCTGACAGGAATTCCTTTCTCCAGTCTGCTTACTCCTCTGGGAGCCTGCCTGTCCCTCTGCTTCCCAGCCCTTTTATCCTACCAGCTGCTGTGAGGCTGCCAATCACCAGCGGCCAGCAGTGTCTGTATTAACCTTTTGGTTGTTGTGTGAGCGTGGAGTACATACACCCGATGACAGGCATAGATTCATAGATTCATAGATTCTAGGACTGGAAGGGACCTTGAGAGGTCATCGAGTCCAGTCCCCTGCCCACATGACAGGACCAAATATAGTCTAGACCATCCCTGATAGACATTTATCTAACCTACTCTTAAATATCTCCAGAGATGGAGATTCCACAACCTCCCTAGGCAATTTATTCCAGTATTTAACCACCCTGACAGTTAGGAACTTTTTCCTAATGTCCAACCTAGACCTCCCTTGCTGCAGTTTAAGCCCATTGCTTCTTGTTCTATCCTTAGAGGCTAAGGTGAACAAGTTTTCTCCCTCCTCCTTATGACACCCTTTTAGATACCTGAAAACTGCTATCATGTCCCCTCGCAGTCTTCTCTTTTCCAAACTAAACAAACTCAATT